AAAAAAAAAAAAAAAAAAGTATGCAAAGTGCTTAAGAATTAAAAAGTACTATGCAAGCATACAATATCATTCCTACTATTATTATTCTAGGTAATTTTACATATCTCCCCAAGCAGATAACACTCTCCAGAAGGAAAATGTCCTAAAAAGGTAACTCGGAGTATCTCCTGAGCTTTTTAAGAAATATGGTCCACAGAGGTCTTTCTTTCAATTTTTCTTCCACTTTAAGCACAAACATGACATAAAAATCTGTGGGAGTCACTTTATGATGCGCTAGACATTACTGAATAATTACTAAAATAATTTTTAAAAACTTACAAGGAAAAAAGTCAGTAAAATGTTAATGGTAAATGCCTTTCTTCTCTTTTCATCTTCCCTTTATACCTATATGTTTAATACTTCTCAATCAAAATAAACTTTTTAAGATTAAGAAAACTATAGGAATTATGAAATTTGAAAAGCATTGATATTGTTTTCATCAATCAGTTATGTAAAAAGAGTATGTATTATATCTCTGAAGTTAAAACATCATAGTCAATGCTACTGCTTGGTATTTTCTTTTTTAGGATTTTCCTTCTGTTGGTTTATTATTAGTAAATGGATTTACCTAACAAATCCAACCTGTATATACGCGAAGAGGCTTCCAGAAAAGAGAGGAGGAGAGGGTAATTCCAGAAAAATGACTTGCTTATTTTAGGGAGGATAAAATCCCAAATCTAAATACTGCCTTTACTTCACTTAAATAATCACAAAATGTCTGAGAAATATTCCAAGCACAGGGTAAGCCACTAAGGAAAACAGTTTCCAAGAGTCTGTTACCCTCTTACTAATATACAACACCCGACATGGAAAGTTAGCAAATAGAGACAGCATGTGTTGAAACTACTCTAAATGATTTTCAACATTTGTGGCCTGTTTATATTTTTGCAGGATATGACTCAAAATTTATTTTGAAGTATTTGGTATTCCTTGTAGTAATAAAAAAAAAAGTTCTGTTTTGCTCCAATTCTTATTAATATTTAGATAAAGTCACACAATTTTCTCTTTGATTTACTAAAAATATCATCCCAAGAAACACTATAGGAGTAAGGCGAGGGAATTTGCATCTCAATTATTATTCTAATGTAATTAATTTTCATTTTAATCTGTATTTTTCTCCTAGTTAAAGCAGTCACCATCCAGAAATTGTCCTGTTCAAGGTCCTGGCATTTGTTCATTGATTTGTGTGTTGTTTTTATCCTGTTTATTTCCAAAACAATTTTAAAAGGTAATTTGACACCAAATGAGATTGGAGAATTTTCAAGAATTTAAAATCTAATGAAAAATCAACAAAAACAAACAAAATTGACCTATAACAAGTTTTTTCCCCCCAGGAAGAACACCATGGAAAGAAAGCAAAATCTCTAAGTGTTTGTTTAAATCACTTAGGAAATGTTTGATCAAATACAGCTCATTTCTCTTTTATTCTTTGGGTTATTAAGTATTATTAAGCAAACCAAATTCTATGGATAGGCTATATTTTGATTTAAGAAAGCAATTATAAAAATAATCTAATAGTACCTATTTAGGAATGGGGCAGAAATAGGAACTTTGCTGTAATTTACAGCTAATAAAACAAATCTTTGCAGAAAGCGGTGAATGACAAATTATCACAACCTAAATGATAACACGCTTTTATCAGCATAAGATTATGGAGACATACTAACTTTTATAACTGGTAAAAACATTCCTTAAGAAAAAGAAAATTGGCTTGGTGCCTGTAGCTCAGTAGATAGGGTGCCAGCCACATACACCGGGGCTGGCAGGTTCAAACCTGGACCGAGCCTGCTAAACAACAACAACAACAAATAGCTGGGCATTATGGTGTAGTTCCAGCTACTTGGGAGGCTGAGGCAAGTCACTTAAGCCCTAGAGTTTGAGGTTGCTGTGAGCTGTGACATCACAGCACTCTACCAAGGGTGATATAGTGAGATTCTGTCTCAAAAAAAAGAAAAGAAAAGTAATGCAGCAATAGGCTATAATCCAAAAATAATATTTGTCCCAATCCTATGCCCCATTATACTCTATAATGTGGAAACATTGTTTAGAACCCTAGATTTGGTTGTGTCATAACACATGTTTCCAGGGACTTGGCAAACAAGAACGTGTTCAGAGAGAGCATCAAAGATATTGAAATCTTTGAAAACTACAAAATGTAAGATTTGGTTAAAAGAACAACTAAGCAAGTCATTTTTCTGGAATTGGTTAAAGGAACACATTGAAAAATTCAAGTTCTCAAATGGGACATGCTGATGGCTTCCAGTATCTGAACATCAGTTAAGTGTAAGAGGATTAGGTATCACTCCAGGAATAGAATTAGGACTAATGGTTGTGAGGAATGGAAGAAAATACCTAATAAATAGGAATACATGGTCTCTAAAAGAAACGAGAAAGCACTGCGAAGGTCAAGGATGTGCAGTACAAGGGAAATTGACTAGGGCCCTCTCTTGACATCACTGGTCTTTCAGCTCTGGGACCTTGGTCCAGTAACTGAGTGGATCCATGCATTGGATGGAGCTGTGACTGCAGATTGGAAAGGAAGAGGAAATGCTAAACCCGATGGTCACCAGGGTTCTTTCTATGTCTAAGATTCTGTCACTTCATAATAAGAGAAAATATAGTTTTCATCTCATGGTGAGAAATTATTACTAAGCTACATCTTTCACTCAAATTACATGAAGTGTGGGCCTACTATAATCCCCAGATGCTCTTCTGGGGATGCAGAAGAGGAAACACAAAAAGGGCAAGAATTCTTTCCCTTCTACACCTTATATTCCAGTAAACAGGTGGGCAATAAATGAAACAAATGAGTAACAGCATACTAGAGATCAGAAGTACTACATAAAAAATAAAGATGGGAAATGCAAAATGTTCAGTAGAGTTGAGGAAAATGTAGTAAGAAAATAACATACAAGCAGAGATACATTAATTTCACCAATAATTTTTAAAATCAATTTTATTATAAACTACACTGAAAAAATATAATTTAATTAAATCCTATGATCTAAATAATTTTTCAAGTAATGTAACCTCATCACAGAGTATTATGGACTGAACATGTCCCCTTAAAATTCATATGCTGAAGTCCTAGCCCCACTATCTCAGAATGTATGTAGAGATAAGATCTTTACAGAGGCAATGAAGTTAAATTAGGTTATTAGGTTGGATGTTAATCCAGTGTCCCTGGGGGCACTGGTGATGCATTACTGGTGATAGGAAGAGATTAGGTCACAGTCATGTACATGGGGAAGAAGATAAGAAGACACAGGGGAGAGACCGCCATCTACAAGGTAGACAGACCTCAGAAGAAACCAGCCCTGCCAACACTTTGATCTTGGACTGCTTCCTCCATAATTTGGAGAAAATAGATTTTTGTGTTTAAGCTTCCCAGTCTGTGCTTCTTTGTTACAGAAATCCTGGCAAACTAATATAGAGAATATATAATCATACAGATCCCATCAAATATTATGTTTAAGACAATGCAAGTTTGCATTAGTCATTTTTGTAGTAACTCAGAATCTTATATAAACTATATTTAGAACATATGTAGAGATTTCAGATTCTTTTGTATTTATTCTTATCACTTAAAATTGCATTAAAAATTTTCAGCCTATTTATGGGGTACATAGTGGTGTAATATATACGCTATAGTGATCAGATCAGGCTAATTAGCATACCCATCATACCAAATATTTTTTATTTCTTTATTTAGAAACATGTAATATCCCTCTAGCTATTCGAATCTATATATTATTATTATTAACTGTAACTATTTTCCAATGCTATAAAGCTTATTCCTTTTGTCTAGCTGTATAGGTTCAAATATTATGTCAATCGGATTTTTGTTTGAGTTTTGCAGAAGTTGAGAAAAATTACTGGAATGATACATAAGGAAAATTAAAGGTTCAGGTATAATCAAGATAGTTTGGGGAAAAAAGAAGGTAGATTTTCAATGAATATAAGTTTTTTTTATAATGTAATTATTAAGATAATTCAAAGAAAGGAATTTTGTAGAGGACCCATAGACAACAAAAGGGAATGGCAAGGAAGAATGTGTTTAAAATATTTATTTTTTGTGCATCTGTGATTTGTCTTACAATACAATTATCATTAGAAGTGATTAGATAAAAAAAATATGTTTTACAATCAAAAAAGAAAAAAAGAATAATCCTAATGGTTTCCTCCTAACATTCTCTACTGAAGAGAAACAGTTTCACAAAAATATCTCCAGCACTTCACACCTAAAAACAGCATGCTTAAGTAATAGGCAAACATTGAAGATATGCAAACATTTATTTTTCTACCAAGATTTGTATAATTGACCTAATGGAAGTTTAAAATGTCAGCTCATAATGTTTTTAAATATTCATAGGCACAAGCAAACAGCTCATAACACCAGGACTTAACTTCTCCCATCTGGTTCATATCTTCCCAACCACCGAAAGAGCTTCAGGCTGCCTTGCTGTAGACCCGTAATACAGACGGTCACTTACTGTGTGACATGTGGGAATACAACATGTACACCTGAAAATATTATTTCATTTAAAGACTGCTGTTTCCTATTCCTTTGAGACTTCTGATCAGCAATACGTATTGATTTTAGAGATTTAAAAAAATAAGTAGATGAATATACTTACAGGTCCTGTGAAGTGAGATGCCTTCTCAAACTTTTCACCCTCCTCCATTAGAGCTTCAGTCCCAGGAAAAGAATCTGGTTTTATTTGTTTTAAATATAAAGATATTATAGTCACATAAACTGGTTGTTGGAAAAATCATAGTGTTTATGTGTTAGAGTACAAAACAATATTCATTTAGCTTAAAGAAATTCTGAAAAATGATAAGTATTTCTAATGTAGAAGGACACAAAATAGTCAAGAATGTACAAGAGCTATAGTTACGCAAATAAAGCAACATTTGGGGGCATATTCCTTAGCTAATTGTTAGCATATTATTTATATTTCACATTCTTTTTTGTTTTGCAATTTTATATTTATTTGTTTTACCCATCAATTATGCTTTTTTCCAAGCTCCATAATTTTACTTCTATTCTATTCTCTTTTACATGGGATGGAAAGTTCTGAAAAGAATTCAGAGAAGGGTGCATATTATTAAATTAAATGGTGATGGATTTTCCATTTTAACATACCATGGAAGAGGTTGCAAATACTCAGCCTGAATAAATGGAGGGGTGGCTAAGTAGTGACTTTCAAATATGCAAATAAAATAATATGTCTGCTAAATTAAATTAATGATAACACCAGGATTTCTATGGATTATAAGGAATTTTGTGACAGGAGTAGATCCACAGGGCAGCTAGAAACAATCTATGTCACAGACTGTCAACTTTCCTTGGCTGAGTTTGAACTCCTTTTTCAGATTAAAAAATCAGTTAAGTGATGGATGTGTTACTTAGTTCAATGTAAACATTTCATATTGTATATCAAAGCAGTACCCTGAACCTCATAAATGCATCAATGTACAATGCTATGATTTAATAAAAAACAATTAATTTTAAATAAATAAATAAATAAATGATAAATAAAAAATCAGTTAAGAGGAAGGTATTTTAAATCATTGGATTTTAAAATCAATGTCTTATATTTATTAATAGTTGAGAGACTTATTTAAATCCCTACAGAAGATTTTCCTTTAGATTCATGTGTATAGGGTGGTGCCTGTGGCTCAATGGGTAAGGCATCAGCCCCATATGCCAAGGGTGGCAGGTTCAAACCTAGCCCCAGCTAAACTACAACAAAAAAATAGACGGGCATTGTGGCCGGTGCCTATAGTCCCAGCTACTCGGGAGACTGAGGCAAGAGAACAGCCTAAGCCCAAGGATTTGGAGGTTGCTATGAGCTATGACTCCACAGCAGTCTACTGAGGGCTAATAAGTGAAACTCTGTCTCAAAAAAAAAAAATAAATAAAGTAGATTCATGTGTATATGGAGACAGATTTTTATGTTACATAAAATGTGTACTCTGGGAAGAAAACCAGAACATTAAAATTTTAAGACCTTAACGGCCACCAAAGACCAAGGAGATAATAGAAAACTTGCACAAATCCATAATCATTGTTTTTGAATCATAGAGCTCTTTCTATGCCTGCTAATTCAGAATTATATATTAAAGAAGAAAAGTTCCTAAATCCCAGGGCACATAGTTTATCTAGATCAGCAGTTCTCAACCTGTGGGTGGTGACCCCTTTGTAACAAAGAAAATACATCCTACATATCAGTTATTTACATTACAATTCATAACAGTAGCCAAATTACAGTTATAAAGTAGCAACAAAAATAATTTTATGGTTGGGGGTCACCACGACATGAGGAAATGTATTAAAGGGTCGCGGCCTTAGGAGGCACTGGGAAGGTTTAGAACCACCGATCTAGATGCAAATTCAGGTTTTGATTTGGAACATACATTTAAAAAGTAAAAGAAATTTTAGTTGATAAAATAATGTTAGATGATGAAAATGGTCATGGTTATGGTTTAACCAACCATAACCAAGTTCAAAATATTAATCCACTTGCAAAGAATACTTGAACCCCTATCTCCTAAGATTCAGCTGTGAAGGTGACAACAGATAAAGTCTTTAGATTTCAATGTAAATTAACCATAATTTAAGGACTTCAAGGCTGAATTATAGTTTACAAAACGGTCAATAGATGCTACTATACTTTTAATCCTCACTCATTTTTTCTGTTTTATGTGTTGAAATTCTTGAGTAGGATATTGACTTAATAAATTACATGAAAATATTTTATTCTATATTACAAAGAAAATTATTTTCATATATAGGACAGGTAAATCCACCCTTCTGTGGATTTGCTGGGGATTTTTTTAAGTTAGAAAGACTGTAAGTGGGTTCTCAAGGACCTTTCAGTGAGTAGTTAAGAAGTATTGTCATTCTGTTTGATTATTTATGAATTAATTTATTCATTCATCCATTTATTGTATGTGTATATTTGTGTGTTCACCTACTTAACAAATACTACATGCCAATCTACCTAGTGCTCTTGAAACAGGTGAAACAAGATAATTTTCTCTGACTTTTTCTCTAATGGAATTTACTTGAATGCAGTACAATATAAATTTTTTAACAAAAAGAACATTCTAAAGAGTATTGATAACTTTTTATAGTTTACGTTCTGTTCTATTCCTGTTTGGGTTGAATTTTTCACAGGTTATTAGTTTGATGTCCAGTGAGATCTATAAGATGGTAATGTCTTCTTAGCTTGGCATTAAAAAACAACCATAAAGTACTGCAAGAGTATTTGAGCTTTAACATATCTGACCCTTTTTTAAAGTTATTAAATTGAATGGACCCTGCTCAATAGCTCGTATCTAATAATTAGATATCAATCTAACAAGCTAGTCAGGGAAATAGACATCATAAAAACAAAACCTTAGTGTTAAATGCTCAGAGGGATAAACTCCATTTTTTGACGCTCTAAGTACTTTGCTTATTAACAATGAATTCGTGGGGGCACATGTGTACACTATTTCACTGTCTACTCCAGAGCAATTTGTTTTGTAAGGATACATAATTTCAACACATAAGTGGTTATGTCCTTGAGGTTTTTAAAATCACATGTAGGGGAGGCTAAAGTTTGTGGATAGCCTGATCTCAGGGGTTTGAGAACAGCCTGAGCAAAAGTGAAACCCCATGTCTACTGAAAAAAGAAAAATTAGCTAGGGATGGTGGTGGGTGCCTATCATCCCAACTACGTGGGAGACTGAAGCAAGATGATTGCCTGAGTCCAAGAGTTTTGCTTTGCTGTGAGCTGTGATGCCAAGACACAGGGCACAGAGTGAGAATGTATCTCAAAAAAAAAAGTCACACATGGATGGGTGGGAAATGAGTCTCTAAACTTGGCAATAATTATAGAGTTTATCGTCTCCTCGTCGCCTCATTTTAGAAAAGAAGAAACTAAAACATGAAAGGATAAAGTAATTTTGCCAAAAATCTAACCATTTCTGAAAGCATGTGACTAGAAATGGCCCCCGTAGTTGACTGGTTGGAACCTGGAAATCTGTAGCATTTATCATAATGTTTAACTTCATTAAACTTAGTGCTGCTTTCATTTTTACCTCCACTGCTTGTATCAAAACATAATTTTTATGCACAAACTCTTTCCTACTTATCGAAATATTTGTTTGTTGAACAAGTTTCAATGTAGATACACAGTTGACATAAAAATCACATTAGTGCATTTGGATAATGCCAATAATACTCAATTATTGGATTTAGTGATTTGGCTAACTTAAGTAGAAAAATATATACTAAACTAGAAATTCATATTGTGCAATTTGTTGATTAGGCAGTACCAATATCTGAATGCAAAGAATGTGGGATGTAAGCATTTCAACAAAACTTAAATCTAATGAATGCTTAATGAACTAATTAATGTAAGCTTAAACTTAATGAATATAATTTTTCCAGTGGACAAAGTATAGTCAACATATTACTGATATACTGTTTAATTTCCCAAGAAATTTAGATCTTTACAATTATCATTATGTACGTAAATGTAATTGATGAAGGATATATATGTAAAGCTTAGTGGATTGGAGTAGTTTTGATCTAATTTTAACATTAATGGACAAGTAATTAAATAGCATCTGTTTTGTGCCTGGTTTTGTGTTGGGCATGATGGGGAACCCAAGAAAACTTCCAGAAGCATATAATCTAATTGAAGTGACAAGAACAAACACACAAGAAGCAATTCAAAAACAATTAGGGGCTTAGAGAATGGAAGCATTCCTGCAGGCCGCTCTTAACTTCATCTTAGAGCAGAGGACCTGAACAGGCAGAAGGGAGGAAAAAGAACTTAATGCTAGTCAGAGAAAAATGGCCTCAGTTAAGGGTCACGGGCAAGAATATCTGTTGAGAACTCAGGCTACATCAAGCGCTAAGTTAAGTGTCAAGGAATGGTCAGCCTAGGTCCTTCATACTGCTGTTCTCACAATGCTCACCATTCACTGTCAGAGTTAAAAGTCTATCATAGGAACATGCCACATCATCAGTACTATAAATTTGAGTTCGTATAAACACTTATCACTTCTTTGTACTATGCTACACGGGCATTGGTTTATGTTCCCATAGCACTTTATTTTTATGGCTATTAGGTAATATTTGACATACTAAAAAGTATATATGTAAATATATACAAATACAAGAGATGTAAACTTCTACCTCTTATGCAAACATAATATATGATATATTTATTTCACAAAGCATAATGACAAATAAACATCCCAAGACCCCACTTAACTTTTTTTTTTGACCCCACTTAACTTAAGAGTTACAGCATTTCCTGTAACTTTCATAAACCTTCTCCTGGAGAGCAAACCCTATTTGGTGTCTATCATTCCCTTTGTTAAATGTAGTTTTATGACTTTACATAATTTTTCCTAAAGAATACATTATTTAGCATTTTTGCGTCAAGCTTTATAAAAATAGCCATCTATAACTTGCTTTTGTTCAATCAGCTTTTAAGGTTCATTCAGAGGTGAGTTAAACATGTTCACACCACACTGAGAGAACCCACGGCCATGTCAGGTTGGCTGTTTGATATCAGCCCGGGTGGGAGCATTTATACCATGGAAATCACCAATCTCTACAAACGAGGGCTTCCTCTCCTAGAGGAACAGTTGCTAATATTTACTAGCATTCCACTGATTTTACCAGGTTTAGTTTCCTCCTTTCTTTCTCCTTTTTTTAATCTTGAAGTGCCACTACAAACTCTAATAACTATTGTTGTATTTCAACTTACCTAAAGAATCTGGGATCGTTTCATCTGGAGAATGAAGTATTTGTAATGTCTCTTCTGTCCTTTCTACCATGTTGTCTCCTTGAAGCCTAAAGAACGAAAACAGTCACTGAAACCTGTGATAATGTTCAACTGTGAAAGATGAGCTACATGCTACAGGGGACATGAATGTGAACTTCTAATCTCCAAAATCAGATATGCTTCTTCAAAGTAGAAATGGAAGTTTATCAAAGCGATTGCAGAATAGGACCTTTGCTTTTCTAACCTTGAAGGAAAAGTCTCTTTTATTACATACATTTCCTCTTATATGCAGGGCAAGATTGGTCTGTGCAGGATCTGCTTTTCTTCTCAGCCTGATCAGAGAAAGGTTTATTAGCAAATGTTTTCCCTAAAACTACAAAGGAGAATCAAATGGAAGGAAAACAGGAGTCACAGCATGACCATCTAACGTCTGGGTCCAGGATTCAGGAGATGGTGTTCAAGGTTCCACAGAATGATGTCAAACACAGTTCTCCAAATCAAACTACAGAAGCCCTGTGAGTCAAGGTTAAGTCTTTCCAGTGGACACCCAGATCTGTAATGTGTGAGACTGCCCAGGTTCTCACAGACACTGGGTCTTCTTCTGCAGAGGAAGATGGTGTAGGTACTTTTACAACAATACATTCTGAGCTTTCCTATGCTCACCTTTATACTGGGAAAATTGGACTAGCAATATCCAATTCAACTCTGGGTTTATGTCACTCTCTGAAACCACATTAGCAAAGGAAGAACATTTTGGAACCCTGTTTAAGAACAACAAAGTAAACCCAGCTCTGCTCATGTTGGAGGACAGTACATCAAACAATTCAGAGGCTGAAAGTTTCTACCAAAGCTCTTAACTTTCCTACTCAGGTCCTCGGAGGAGAATATCAATAAATGTGTGACATAGAAAATTAAGATTTTAAAAAATACAAGCCACAATTGTACTGGACGAACATTTTATTATTCTCAACTATTTGATAGCTTTGCTTTTATATACCACAGCAGAATCACACAATAACTTTCCTTTAACTTTTGTAATTTCAAGCATGTCTTTTTCCTTCTGTGTAATCATAAATATTATGAATTATACCCATATTTTAATTTTTATAATATTAAATTCTGCATATCTGTTACATATCACATATTGATACCTACATATTACATTTTATACATAAAACTGTGTTGTTTACTCTATAACATCATTAAAGAATGGCCAAAAGAATTTCCCAATAGTTGTAGCACTTTGGAGTCAGCTCTGTGTGGTTCTATACTTTTAGATTTTTTAAAATTCACTTTGAAAACAACACCACTTTTAAATAAAGAGATAAGTTGCCTACGTAATTCTCAAATCTTCCCTACTATGTATTCATGTTATTTACTTCAGTGAGGAGAGCTGCTTTAATGTTTAGTAATAAAATATTCTTTTTCGAGCTCTCTTTGTCCAGAATCATTCTATCAAAATCATCAAAGAGGGAAAACATAAAGGAACATGAGATATTGAAAGGTATAAATTGAAATTATTATTATCAAAAATTCACAATGAGCACCAACACACTTGTGTATTTAAGTTAAAAATCGCACAAGGAAAATAAATCTCTAACAAAGACAGAAAGAAACAAGACATAAAAATTATGCTATAATTTTTTAAGTATGCACAATTATAAGCCAAATGTTGTAGAGACACAAAGAAATTATAAGTGTCCCTAATTTCACAGAGCTTTCAATTTAGCCAAGCTGAAGAGACAAATGGCCGTGAGTAAACACCCAACAAATTGGGTGGCCTTGAAGCTGGTTCATCTTTGTCCAAACACTGCCCCCCAGATACCTTAAGAGTTGAGTTTGCCAGGACTTGGCATCATTTTCACCTCAGAATGCTTCATGGCTCTGCTGTCTTTGAGGGCTCTGCCAAAGTTGCCCAAGAGTAATTCACACAGCACCACCTCTATTTTCAACCCCAAAACAGAATGCTCCCTGCTCTCCTTGTCATAACTGAAATTCTTTTCTCCCCTATGAATATTGCATTCATTTTCATGTCTAAGACTACAAAATTCCCTGTCCAGCAGAGGATACCTGACCCCTCAACCTCAGATAACACAGGATTATATGATGTACATTAACTTTTCTTCTCTGTGCTGAACAATCTTTGCTCAGGTTCAAAGTTTTCTTCTTTAACTCAGGTTTCACTACTACCTGGAATGATATTTGGGTCCACATACATCTACCCGCAAGTCTCAAGGTCCCTTGACCTCTGCAGATTGAGAGATCTTCCCTTCTGCTTCACCTTCCCTTACCCAAGAACAGACAACTCAAAGTCACTTCATGTAAGAAATCTATAAACCCAGTGTTCTAGTCTGTGACAGTAAATTCGCCACCTTCAGGCTCTTTCACAACCTTACTCTCCTCAACACTTTCTCTTCAGACCAAAATAGATCTCCATTTCTTTGGTTTCCTCCCCGTATCTTCCCACCTGCTTCCCTTCTACCCCTGCTCAGAGACTCAATGATTCCTCAGCTTCCTGGCACCCTGTCCTCCTGTGAGTCCTTCCCAATCAGACCCCAACCCTGTGTTAGTTCACTTCTCTTCTGTATGTGGGCTTGTGAGCAAGAAGGAAATCGTTACTGTAGGATCAGTGGGTACAAGGCAATGGTCTCCAATTTTAAACTTTAAATGGTTGTCTTTCTTCTATTCCTTTCAATGTGTTTTCATAATTATCACCTCTATTCTTTGTCACCCAGAAAAACTGATTGTGTAATTAGGAGTAAAGACCTTCAACTTGCCCTCACACACCACTCCAGAATTATCTTCCTTCTGACCCATATTCATCACTATTCTGCTTTAAACAGGGGTGACGGGCTCTTTGCCACACATAAGGCTGAGACCATCCATTAAACTGGTGGCCAGGATCTCATCGTCGTCTCTCCTTCCCTAGGACTCAATCTATGTCATCCACCACCACCCCACCACCAGTAATCATCCTGTTCATCTCCTGTAGTATTTCCCAGAGGATATAAAAGAGTTCACTTCTCTTTAAACCTTAAATAAAGGTCCGTCCCATAATTATCTAAAATATCTAGCTGCTGACTTTTCTTGCTTGTCTTATGAGCCAAACTCCTATATTCTTCATGCACTGCCTTTACTTCCAGATTTCATTCCCTCCTCAGCCTGTTTTAATTTGATTTATGCAGCCTGTTTAATTTGATTTGTGCAGAACACCTCTTACAGCACAACTTCCTGACTTTCCAAGTGCCATACACAAAGGAAGCTTTTCAGACTGTGTCTTGAGGCCGTCAGCACTCATCTTCTGTGGCTCCCCTCTCCTGCATATCTGACTACATCTAGGAAGATGTCTTCTCAATCTCCCTTAAAGGCTTATCACGCAGACTTTTAAATGATATTACTTTTTCTCAGTTCTAGCCAAGGCCCTTCCTTTCTCACTCTGCATCTCCCTTTGAATCATCTCATCCACTCTTACAGTTTCAGCCACATATAGGGTAATTTTTGCCCATCTTTATATTGAATCCTCAGCTCAAGGTTAGTGTACCCAAATTCCTGCTGGACACTTTACTTGTGTATGTGCTATAAGCACCTGAAAGGCGACATGTCCAAAAGCAAGCTCACTTTCATTATCCCTCTAACTCTCACTGCACATGGCTAATCAATTCCAGTGTTGCAAATCATCCTTCCTACAGAAATTTCTTGCATCATCACTTCTTTATACTATTGCTATAGTATGACTGCTCATCTCGATTTGTCTGGATTTGTGTGTAGTTTCCTCACATATATCCCTGCTTTGAAATTTGTCCTCAAAAAGCCAATTTTCCACATGACTACCAGGATGTTTGAAACACAAATCCAACCACATTACTCTTCTATTTTAAGTACTCTAGTGGAAAAGGTCTTAACATGAGTCTTATTAGTGGGTTCATGAACAGGCTTTGGTAAAGTCACAATAATTCACAGTGAATTGAATGAAGAGTTTTGGGTTGATGTGATCTTTTTTGGAAAGAGAGTAATTTTAACGAGTCCTCAAAATAATCCTTGACTTACAAGAATTTAAGAACTACCATTTATATTGGCCTCTCATTACTTCAAGATGAGTTACAGTTTCCTTAGCGAGTCATTTGAGGTTCTCCATTACACAACGTCTACCTATGCCTGCAAATTCATCATCTTGAATATTCTACCATGGATTTTATACTCTGTAAATTCCAAACTACTTTTAATTTTTTGCATATATTTTGTTATTAAGGTTTTGTGTCATGGTACTATTATCTCCAGCAGAATATGCCAATACCACCTTTTGTTATTAGGCTTATTTCTAGCTTTTCATTCTATATTCTCCTCTTTTCTGAAGTTTTTCTTCCAAAAGTCTTAGTGCTTATGCAAATCTTTACATGCTGATAAGGGAATGCAAAATGAAAGTAAAGACACTGAATGGATAATATAGGAGTTTGGTTCATAGAATGAGCAAGAAAAGGCAAAAATTTTTACTTGTTTTACCATATTTTAAATTGTAATTAAACAATTACCGCTGGCCAGCCCAGGGCAGGAATTAAGATCTAAAAGGTACTGGGATGAAGTGAGATGCTGAAGCTTGCACCCGTACAGGGCTGGTTGCCACAGATTGAAGAAAGTGCAGAAATAGTCATCAAGAAGAGATGAGGCAGAGAGTATTTGAAATGGAGTACATGTGGGGCTGATAAAGTGTTTGAGTTTAAAATAAATGAATCAGATTTAATTTTATACTGGCCAGTGAGATCTGGCTAGAGGAAATACTGTTATAAATATTAGTAAATTTCATCTCAAAAATCATTAATCACCTTCAACTTACTTAGTCTTAATGGTGAATAAGCTGATGAAACTGTGTATCTGCCCAGTTTATTATGTGTGTCCACACAGACTATCAAAGAGCCTATCAACAAGTATTTGTTAAATAAATGTTGCTGAAAAGTCTGTGGGTCTTAGAAAATAGAACTAAAGAAGATTTGTAACAGGAGTAGTTAATTTTGCTTGCTGGGTGATATGTTGAGATCCAACTGATGCTGGTGTTTCACTGTATAAGGAAACA